TTGGCAGAATCAATTTAAAATAAAAGAAAAATAGAAAAATATCAGAAATCAATACAATTGAAATTGTATTAATTTGCACTACCAAAACAATTCTGTATTATGTGTCATTCCCAAGAAAACATGCTAGTTTAATATTTAAACTGATATAGGACCATAAAAAAATAACACAAGGGCAAAAATGAACAAAAACTAAATTTATACTAATTTATACCGTTGAAAGTAAAAGTTAAGTAACATTTTACATTTTTTTCTCTTTAAAATGACTTTATTAGTATATACTTACAATCTACATTTTAGCGACCTCAACAACAAAACCAATGTGAACCCGACACTCAACTTGAAAAAAGAAATTTTTAACATGCAATCAATTTTATACATTAACTCGGTTTGCACTTGTTTATACCATTTTCTTTTATCTCATAAGGTTCAAAATTAAATTTGGAAAAAATACTCGTACTATCACCTCATTTTAAGACATTACTTTCCGAAAAAGATAAATATCATCTAATTTGGCATCACTTGTACCTGTTTTTACCGTTTTTTTATTTCATTTGTATCTTTAAGGAGATGATTATATTGAGTATCAAAATAAAAGTAAGAGCTAACTTCGTTATTTCTGAAGATATTTTTAAATCGCAAATAGATTTGACATTTCGGTACTATTTCAGATTAAAACAAGTACAAAGAAATTTGAAACAGCACTTGCAGATTTAAAATATTTCAATATAGGGTGCTAGCATTTTTTCTTTATATTGAATTCCTTAAGATACAAATGAAAAAAAAATTTGTAAATCTAGTTCAATTCAATGTTCATTAAAAAAATATATAATTGCTTTGTGGTATTACAAATTAGTACAAATTCAATCCCATTAATGATATTAAATTTATGATATTATTTTTCTTTTTTTCTTATATTTTAAACTGATTCTGCCAACTTAATATTAAGCTAACAGCATCGATTTTTTCTGAAATGGTAATAAAATTATCATTAATAGTACAATTTAGTATAAAATAAATATTAAAAATTCCGATAGTCCGATTTGATTTTGTTGATTTGGTCTTGCTAGCTTTATAGAGCTTGATTTTCCTTTTAACCTATGCAATAAGGAACTAAAAAGAGATTTACTTGAAAAGTAGGGAATTTTAGTATTTGATATAGTTATGTAATTTGTCTTTATAACGAATTTACATTTTTCGAAAAATTGACGCGCTGAAACTGCCGTACTGAAAAAATGGCTCAAAAATTGGGGAAAAATCAATTTGTCGCAAATATCTCATTCCAGGTGTACCTGTCGATAAAAATATTTCTATAACAAATTGTAAAGGAGAAAATTTCCTACAAATTACATTGAATAAATTTTTTTGTCAGATCAATAGTTTGCTCATAACAATCCCTCAAACGCAATGACGCAAACATTTCTATAATACTTTTTTCCACGTTTTCTACATTACACTATACGAGTATATGTATAGTAATGGTTCAATATAGGCACAGGTAATCAGGCCTTAGGTAATCAGATAGTAAGTCTTTTGGGTATTTTGTTCTAAGGGGCTGCCTAAGATAGGGATTCCCTTCACATACGTACATCTGCCTCGACCATGACCCACAAAATATACGTACATACAAATAACGTGTCATTCATACTTAAATATGGCTCACAATATGATAGGCTTCATTTCTCTTTCTTATCTCCAAAAAAAAGCTCGTTACTTTTGTGCTCCGATAATTCTATGTCTTTGTATAAGTCTGTGACCTCGACCGTGCCAAATTTGTAGATAGCTGTTTAATGCGACTCTAGCATCGTGTTGTTACTGTTCTCATTTTCATGATTTTATCCATGGCATCCTGTGTGAATTGTTTATAAAGAAATTGTGGATGCTAAAAGTATATGTTTTCGTAATATCGGTTATAAAATATTAACAGAAGAATGAACAAAATAGGACATATGAACAGAAAGTATCCGAAGAAGAAGAAGAACTCCAAAGAAGAACGAAAACATATTGTGAAAGCGGCGGCAACGATTATATTGGAAGATATCCTCAACTCTTATTACGAGACCCATTATCCTCCATCGGATAATTTTTTGATGGATGTTCAAACCATTGCGTTGTGCCCGAAATATTACGGATATTACTCGAAAATATCATTTTGAAGAACAAATGGCTCTGTGGCAAAATGGAAAAAAAACTGTTCTTGTTTAATTTTTACGTAAGACCAAATCATTTATTTTGTCATCATTGGAAGTCAGAATGATAGCATTTATATTTTGAAACGCATCCACATAATTATTAAAAATATTATATTATCATCGTTGGAATTTTGCTGTTCATATAAACAATCATAATTTTTAACTATTAAAAAATCAATATGCGGTCATCACTCAAGATTGACGAAAAGGCGTTTCCTCAATTTATTTTCAACAATGCAGATTTCAATACGCAAACATTAGATGGATTCAATACTTTCCATGGATTAATTCTGTATCACTCCTATTATTTTTATTGCTCGAAAGGAAAAAAAACAATTAAACAAATCCAGTCCAACGAATATACAAAAATGTTCAAAAATAAAATTAATTTATTACTGTGGAGTAGGTCTACTGCGAAAACAATGTAAAAAAACGCGCCTTATATTTTACTTCTTGGATGGAAAAAAGTATTTTTAGTATTATCATATTAAAAAAAAAATTTACATCACTTTGATGGACTGTTACGGACAAACTATTAAACTGACAAAAAAATTTATTCGACATAATTTGTAGGAAATTTTCTCTTCTACAATTTGTTATAGAAGTATTTTTGTCGACAGACATATCTAGAATGATAAATTGATTTTTCCCCGATTTTTAACCTTTTTCCAATATGGCGCGTCAATTTTTTGATGGTAAAATGTAAATTTGTTATAAAAGTATCAAATTATTATACCAAATATCAAAACTCCCTCGAGACTTTCCAGGTAAAACTATACCTACTGTCTATGGCTATTTATGACACAAATTTTACCAGTTATTATCTCGATATTGACAGAGAAGAAAAATTTTAGCGAATCAAGTGTGCTATTGAAGCAAAGAGCGCTGTTTTTCGACAGATTTTTGAAAAGCAATATTTAATGTAATTATTTTTATTTGTTAAACTTTACGATCTTTATTAACTAACAAATTTAGTATAAAAAAGAATTACAAAATTATCTTTTCAGAAAAAAGATAAAAAAGCGCCAAGCACACTAGCTCCTCAAAAAATAATCATTGTAATTACTTTTGAAAAATAAAACGGAATGATATGAAAATTTCTATATTTCAATTTATTCTTTCTATTCCAATATCACAAAATTGCGTCAATTAAAACAAATTCATGGACATTATATTATCTAACTCAATCCAAGTGATATATTTTTTCGAATTTTGAATAAAAAAAATAATACTGTTTAAATGCAAATGATAGTATTTCGTTTTAACCCAAAATTGAAAAATATTAAAAAACTTGGTACTGCTAATATATATATATTATATATATATGATATCCATATCTAATCACATTAAATTAAGAGAGTAGCGTTAAATTGTATTAAATATTTTTAAATTTTGGATTAAAACAAAAAAATATAATATTTGAAATAATATTATTTTTTAGTTAGATTACATAACGTGCATAAATTTGATTGTAATTGGCGTAATTTTGTAGTTTCATTATTTGTTTAAAGAAAATTAAAACCGCTACTAGAGTTGGAATAAAAAAAAATAAACAGGAATACAAAGATACGTACATCACTTAGATTTTATTTTTTAAGAGTAGCTATGAAATTATTTTTGAAGGTGCACAAATGTTTGACACACTTTTACTTTAAAATAAAACAATTTTGAAGTGATAAAATTCATTATCGAGATAGCACAAATTCGTGCGATAATGCAACTTTAGCATCGTGTGCACTTGGTATGTACAGTGAGTTGCACAAAATAGTCGTCAACAGTTCTTGGAAAGAAAGAAGCCGAATATATTTCATATTAAAATTTTAAAAGTACATTGCATGCACTAAAATGCAATTACTTATCATTGTCCACCTATTACTATTATTGATTGTAGCTTGTCGTCGAAATATGTCTTTTAAGAGAATTTTCGGCCAGTCTTAGATAAGGACCTTCAAATCTTTCAATTATAATTGGATGCCATTTAAGTAATTGTATTTTAGTACACGTAATGTATTTTTAAAATAAAATTTTAATTTTTAATATATTCGGTTTCCTTCTGAAAATACTCTTGTGTTACTATATACACTCTAAATTTCTTGCAGTAAAATCTCACTCCAAGAGAGTAAAAATATAACTATCCTTGAAAAAAAGTGAGAATATTTCACTTCTTGAAAAAGAGTGAGAATTTTCATTCTTTTTGGAGTAAATTTTTACTCCAAAGGAGTGAAATTTCACTTAAAAAAAAATTATCACTTTTTTTTTAAAAGTGAAGAGTGATTGTATTTTCACTTTCTTGAAGCGAGATTTCACTACAAGAAATTGAAAGTGTAACTGTACATAAATTTATTTATTAATAATTGTCAGTGCTCCTGTTTTACAAAAGAGTGAGCGATTTTCTTGAAACGAATTACTCATAAATCATATAAATTTATAAAAATTAAATACTATATTGCAAAAATCAATATTTACTTTATGGCGATTACATCGCCACGACTTTGGAGAGTCGAATGTATATACGCGGCACAAATACACAGAGTATACGTACACAAAAATTCTGTACACACGTCCCATTGTTCGAAAAAACATAGACAATAAGCTTTTCAAACGCATTAATTTCGTGTGTCCAGCGACTGTTTACATTTCTTCGACCATTTAAAGGAAGCAAAGTCGAAATAATTTCTATCGGTACAGAAATTTATAATATAATATGTAATCGTTAATCATAAAACAGCAATTCCATGAAAATCTAAAAGTTAACCGACTTTTTTAAATTGTAGCAACATAATATTTTGGTAATAACATAATATTTTGTGTGCGGAGAATATTCGCGAAAGGTGCGAGTGATCGAACTTGAGAACGTGAGATCAGAGTCGACTACGAGACACGGACCTGTTAAGACCCGCTCCAAATCATATCAAATTTATATATAACTGTTATCTTTTAATATCTGACAATATTAAATTATTTTCTTGTAACAAACCAAATCCACACCAAAACTTATTAGGTAAATATAAATTGCATTTTGTAAAAATGATCTTGCTATAAATAAAAAAAAATACTTAAAATATGTCGCAAAAAGATTAACTAAAGTTGATATTGTATTAAAATTGAAGACTATGACTATCATGTGGAGCATAATATTATGCATCGTGGTATCGGTGGCCGGCAAGCAGATCACTTTTGAAAATTACAAGGTCTTCAAAATTATTGCGACTACATCGACATGGAATGAGTTGATTAATCGTTTGGGACAAATTTCAGATGGAGTGAGTAGATCTTTCAAACATAAAGATTAAAGACAAATAAAGGCAAATTAATACCTCTTAATTAATATTTCTAATTAATCTCTTAAGAGATTTGTAACATTTATATAACTGTATTAACTAAAATTTAAAAAACTGATCTCATAAAATTAGCATAACGTACACATATTACTAAAAATTTATAAAATCAACTTTATCCACATCAAATTATTTAAAATATAAACATAACTAATATAAATCAAGTCCAATGAGAGTCAAACGCAAGTGATCCTTTTTGGGTATGCGAGTATTTTGTTGCATTGCTATTTTGCTGAAGAGTATTCCAAAGTGAGTTGAAACGTTCATAATAAAGAAGACATTTCATTTATCGAATATACGTAAATTTCATTATTTCAAGATCATACGTTTCTTGATTACCTACATTTGACTCTCATTAACCTTGATTAGTTATGTTTATATTTTAAAGATTAAGAGTCCTATGTAATTATTATTGTTTTTGTCAAATTATTTATCATACAACATTCAGACGACAAAAACTGACTAATATATAATTAATTTTTTAAACTAACATTATTTTCTTTTAAATAAACAAATTAAATATATATCATTTATAGTATTCCTTCTGGAAGGTATCGTTTGTGAGTAAACAAGTGGATCTTATGGTAGCCCCGCATAAGTTACCCGAATTCTACGACATAATGGCGCAGATCCAAGCACCATACAAAGTTTATATTGAGAATGTTCAGACATTAATCAATCGGACAATGCCAACAAATGCATCAATGAAATTTGATTTTAAAAATTACTATGATCTCGATACAATTTACAAGAATCTAGATGACTTGGTAGAGCAACATCCCAATGTAGTGCAAAGTATAGAAGGCGGCGAGACATATGAGGGACGTAAAATCAAAGGTGTCAAGATTTCTTTTAAACCGGACAATCCTGGAGTCTTTATTGAAAGTGGCATTCATGCTATGGAATGGATCGCACCAGCAACTGCCATGTACATCTTGCATCAATTGCTGACAAGCACCGACACGGAGGTCAGGACTCTGGCTGAGAGCCATGATTGGTATATCTTCCCAGTGTTCAATCCCGATGGATACGTGTATACACACACTACAGTAAGTGCTGTTTTATAATGTCATATAAAGCATTGTTAACTATTAACATATTTATAAATTAACGCTTAATTATATGAATATTTTTAATTTGTTTCAGAATCGACTTTGGAGAAAGACACGTAAGCCCTACGGTTCCGATTGTTATGGCTGTGATCTCAACAGGAATTGGAATTACAAATGGAACAGTAAATTTATATTATATTAGAAAACTATAATAATCAAAAATCAAATAATATTCTAATGAAAAGTCGAGATTATTTATCGACTTTAGAGAGTTTATATTAAAATGTGCTCGATGTTTCTTAATATTTATGTATAATTTAACAATTTCAGCTGGAGGTGCTAGCAATAACTCATGTTCTGAAATCTATGCCGGACCTGCGCCGTTTTCCGAAATTGAGACAAGCAGCATGTCCACATATATCAATTCCATTTCCGACAATTTCTATGTGTATATTGCGCTCCACAGCTATTCGCAACTATTGATGTTCCCTTATGGTTATACAGTAGATCGTGTTGATAACTATAACTTACTGGTGAGAATTTTAATTGTAAAATAAATATAGCTTTGAGAAACTAAAATAAAATATTTATGTATGAAAAACTAGTATTAAATTAATAAAACAATTAGTTTCTTGTAATTATTCAGTTGAAAGGATAGTAATATCGTATTTTTTGGCAAAATTATAGAGTTTTAAGTTTTTAAGCTTAAAATCTCTGTTTTAAAAGTAGTAATATCATATATTTTTAACTCAAATTTATATACATTCTATTTTTAAAAAATTGGCAATTATACCGTTCGATAGAGTTTTAGCTTTAAGAATTTGGTTTTTTTTTTTAATTAGATAATTTTTGACAAAGTTATGAGCAATGAAAGTTAGGATGTTCTTTTTATAAGAATTAACCCATGGACAACTCAGTGACAAAAAAGGAATATTAAAAAAAATGATTTTATAGGGAAAATTTTAAACTTTCACGTTAGATAATCGAAAATTTTTGCAAATATTTTTTAGGCATGTGACAGGCCTACGAAATAAGAAAAAATTTCTCACTTTGGAAAAATTTCCAGCTCGTAATTTTTTATATATAAAACTTACCAAACTGGTAGAAACTAAAAAAATATAGTAACCTTTTCGAGAGACATTTAGACATTTTAAATTTTAGAACTCTTTTTTGAAATTTAAATTTCATTCATATTTTACGAATATATTCTACACATAATTTTGAGCTAAAAAATACGACACCTAACTTACATGTCAATATACATATATATATACATATATATA